AAAAAATTTATTTTGGTAATGATCGTCATTTTACACAAAATGAAATAAGCCAATCACAGGGAAAGCCCGCTATGTTATTATAATTATTATTTTTCATATATACTTATCCCTATATATATAATTTTATGTTCACTTTGTAGGTTTTTTTTTTACAATGACTTATCTATTAAAATTATAAAATTGGCTGGAATTAAAAGAAGTTTTAGGAAAGGTAGTTTGAGTACAATTGATTAGAAACAATAATCAAAAACCCATTAATGCAAAATCATGGTAAAATGTATTTATTCTACAGTTGTTTGTCATAATTGCCTCTCTTCATAAGTGATCATTGCAGTATCCGTAATGCCATAATTCTGCTATAATTACCATAATTATTTTATTAGTAGCCAAAATTATATTCAAAATTATTTGAATTCTTTGATCCAACAGTCAAAATATTGGGCAGTTTTTTATGTCCATTAATATAGAGAATATGGAAAAGCCAAAATATGCTGAAATATTTTGGCAAATGCAAAAACAATTTCAGCTAACAACTATGGTCCTGTTACCAATTATAGTAATATTAAATATAATATAATAATAGTTAATAAATAAATTATAATAAAAATTATAATGTTTGTGTTGCTGCAGGATGAAGAATTGTGATTCAAACATCATTCATCCTACAACATTATTTGTATTTTATTTGGAATCAGCCTGATAGAAAGTTCATGAAGGAAACCAGTTTATTTTGGGGTTTTACACTGAAAAATTTTATTTTAGTAATGCAAAATAAACCATTACACATTTTTATATATTTGGATTTTACAGAATAGGAGATTCTGTTCTTGATAAAGCTAAAATTCGATCTGACACAAATTTCCAAATCCCAATTTTGGTGTTACACATACCCATCATCAAAATCACATTACAAAGTCAACACTTGCTTATTTTATTGCAATAAAACATGAACTGACTTGGTCATGGAAGAAGAGGTAGAAAAAAATCAAAAATAATATTTGTTTATTATCACCATAAATCATCAAGATTTTGCAATAGTTTCAAATTTAATTTTATTCATTTTATTCTTTATACAACAGTTGTTGTCGTTTAAGACTTAAGATTTTTCCATAAAACTTACCCATGTTATTTGTTCCAATAATATATTCATCATCATCTGCTTCTATACTAGAAATATCATAGTCACCTATAAATACAAAAATACAATGCATTACCCCTCCTTTGTTTTTCACTTTTCTTTGATGTTCATTGAAATAAGTTGCTGACAACTTTTTGTTATTTTCACGTTTTTTTTGCTTTCAAAATATACTCTAATGACACCACTCCCATCCTCCTTCTTAAAACTAAACCATGAATCAGGCAATGGATCACTTCCACAGCCGATAATCATCTCTTCTCCAATATGTTTTTTTCCTTTGTACCATTCATGAAGTACTGTTGGATTACTTAAGTTCTCAGGAACAAGGAGTGCCATTTTTCCAACTTGTCCTTTAAGTCCAGGAAATATTTCTGTGAGATAAAAGGTCCTGCGTCTTTTAGCTTTGAACAACAATAGCTTTAATGTCATCATTGCTAAATCACTTCGTTCATTACTATGAGATGATGATGGCAATCCATCCCAGAAAAGTGTATGTAAATAATCAAGTATTGTCCCATCTGTATTTTTTTTTTATCCTTTGCAACCATCTGGAGTATGACAAAAGGAATTATGATTTGACCTTTTTTATCAATAATTATAGAACCATCCTTCTCCAAATTACCAAAAGTTGTATTTCCAATACTCATGTCTTCTTGGACTTGAAAATCATTTACAATATAAGCCAAGATGACTAAAAAGTCATCAGCACTAAGTTTGCTTAGAGAAGTAATATATTGAACAAAATTCTTGAGAATAATAGATTGTAACAACTGTAATAATTTCTTGAGAATAATATTGTCATTCATGTGATTTTCTATCATTTTCTTGAATAACTTAACCTTAAAGGCTTCATCACCACTTCCATAAATGCCATGTTATAAACAAAAAGAGAGAAGAGGCGAAATGAACCAAGATCTTCCAGTGCATATTTGCATTGATCAGAAATGTAAAATTGGGTTGTGGAAACTTTATTGGCTAAATACTGAAGAATTTCAATGAAATTATTAATTGATGGATTTGATAGGATAATGGGTAACATACTAGGTCCACTGCTTCCAAATGACATATATAAATCATCTCTATGTGTTCCATCATAACAAGTAAAGAGAAAATGAGTTCCTTGTGACTTGTTGAAATTATAAATGCTGTTTGTGATTGCTTCTAAAAGCCTGCCTTCATCATTTTGGAAAAAAATATTTGTTTCAGTAATGTGAAACATTGTGAGTAATTGGTTGTGATCTGATTTCTCATGAAGGACATGATCAAGTACAGTTTTGAGATTGATATCCTTCAAGTGTAAGCCATATGATTCAAGATAATATTCTAAATCATTTAAGAACAGATGATATTCCCTTCCATTAATTGATTGATGTAGGATCCTTAATACTATGACTGACTCTGTATAATACTGATTAATCAGCATCCTTTCTGTATGGTCTAATGCTGAACTTAAAACATCCCAAGCAAACACCCTTCCACTAAAAATCTCTTGTAATTGCTTGTTCTGCTCTATCACTGACAAAAACCACGTTGTATAAATGTTGTTTTCCCTATTCCTGGTGCTCCAGCAACCACTAGAGTTTGGTATAATCTTTTGAATGATTCAAGAGCATCTGTATGACAAAAATTAGGATGATGATTATGTAATCGGTTCCAAATCTTGATATTATCAATAATACATATCTCTAACATTTTCATTTCCTTTTCTCTACCAACAAAAGGAAAACAGTCGTCAATAGCTGTAAATAAAATATCATCTGAAAGTTCAAATGGGCCAAGTGCAAAGCTATTGAGATGGCAATCATTTGATGGTTTATACTTGGAAAGTACTTCAGCAACATCATACTTCACTTTTTTTGTTATCTGCTTTTAGGTATAAATGTAAAATGAACAGTAACAGTAATAGATGCATGTACAAGAGAACGGAAAAAACCACAAAGATATAATAGTATACCAAACAAACAAATAAAACAAAATGGACGAAAAATAATTTTTTTGTATATCTTTTTTTTTTAAGCAATTTGTTCATTACCTTTTTCTTTGTCATATTCTAACAACTCATCCTGCAACTTCTCTACTTGTTTCAACCTATCTTCCACCTTCTTCATCAACTCTTCCTTTTCTGTTTTTAAGTAACTAAACAACTCCACATCATGCTTTTTTGCCTCTTCTCTCAACAACTGATCCAGCCTCCCTCCCCAATTCTCTTTCCACTTCTTCAATTTTTTCTTTCGCCTCTTCATGTTATCTTTTAATTCATTTTTAATTTCTTCAACTGTTGCCATTTTTTTATTGATTTACGTGTAGATCGTAATTGTTACGATTAATTGTTTCTATAAATAATTTTTGGACCAATGATAAATCAGTGGGCACATGACTTGAAATTTAAAAAAAATCAAGTTAAAGCACTTGCATGGGAAGAAAATACTCGGACCCAAACCCATTTATAAGTATTACCTATTATTTGGGCACTCTGACAAAAATTCAACTTTCACTATTACTACTATAATATTATTACTATTATTGATAATATCATTATTAATATTTGTATCTTTGTTTTCATTATCTTCGTAATCTTCGCTTTTCTTTGTTTATCCATCCCTGAATCGCCTCTATCGTTTTCCTTCTTGGATTTGTTTTTCGTTGGTAGGAGTTTTTTAATGGCCATTCATTAAATGAAAAATCAGGATTTAACTCAGTCTATTTTATCAAATAACTGTTTGAAATTTGTCCATAGATGTTCGATTTCTTTTGAGTATTTTTTATCATTAGTAAGTTGATTTGTTTTATTTTAAGTTGTTTCCTTCTTGGTTCTATTTTATCAATTATTTGATCAATTTTTTGATTTATAATAGAGAACTGGTTTTGATAAATTTTATAGTGAAGCAAGAAACCAAGAAAAAGTCCAATTAACAACCCACAAAAAAGTTCACAGTTGAAAGTAAACATTTTTTTAAACGTTATTATGGATGAAAATATTGTGTAAATATTTACTGATTATTTGATTGTTTTTTAAACCGAAATAAATTGTTTAATGATAATTAATAGGAGTTGTTGCTTGAATTTTTTTTTTACCTAAAAATAAGTGAACTGGTGATGCTTTTATAATGTTTCAACATAAGGCAGGTTTATTACAAAAACAAAGATTCATTTAAATGCATAAAGCTCATAAATTTTCTATGATGCAATATGGCAATCATCAATATTACATTTACATAGATGAGTCAACCTTTGTATATTTTCTTTCTTTAATTAAAGGACCAATTATAAGTAACATGAATTCCTGGAACAATAAAGCTTCGATTTTCTTTTCAAGATATAGGTTCATTATTTTGTGTATGTGTTACATTGGTCAATATTATCTAACAAATTATGTTAAAAATTTTTATTTTATTTTGACTATTAGCAAATCAATATAAGTTTAAACCCATAAGTATTTGGTATACTTACTACTAGTTCAAATGTCTTGGAGTATTTTTTTTTTTTTTTCAATTATTCTGCTCTAAATAAAGTAACACTAAATTAAGAACATGCTAATACTTACTTTTGAGCTTTATTGAATTATCAAAAATAAATTAAGTATTAGCATCATCAATAGGGCAATGGTAATAAGAAAGATTTGGTATATATTCTTGAATAAGTAACACAAGTGATAAATGAATCGATTTATTAGTTAGGGTTATAATTAAAAAAAAATATTATCACAATTACACTTAAATTTTAAACCCTGTAATGTGTGATATAATGTTCACTTTGTTTGCAAGCATGCCCCATATTTTCTTTTCTTCCAATAATATAAGGATAATAATAAAAACCTTATTTGAACTTTATTTTTATCCCTTTTTTTTTTATTTTTAAGTGACTTTCGTCATATGATCATTAATTGATTATTAAAATAAAATATCAATATTATCATTATTACCAAAAAAGATGTCTTCAAGTGACACTACTGCCTTTTCACTTTCTGACAATGACAGCAATAATAAGATAATTATCAATAACAATAATGGTGGTGGCAGCAATTCAAATAATGACAATGTAAAGCCATGTTGTGCTTGTCCTGACACAAAAAAGGCTAGGGATGAATGTATATTTAAATATGGAGATGAAACAAAATGTCAAAATTTAATTGAGGCTCATAGGATTTGTATGAGAAGTTTTGGATTTAATATTTAAGAAGAAAAAACTTCCATTTTGTCTTTTTTCTTCCACAAAATTAGCAATTAAAAGGTGGTAATGAATGGAGTAAATCAAGTATGTAGCAATTAATTACATTATTTATCTATATGTGATTATTATTAACGCATTTGTTTATATTTTTTCCAATATATTTTTTTAGGAACATTTAGCAAATTTCCATTTGTTTCATTTACAATTAAATAGAAAAAAAAAAATAAAATAAAAGATTTTTTACAAAAATCAAAATTAGCTCTAAATCTGATTTACACCATCATTGCTAAAATCTTGTCTATAGATGAATTCTTCCAAATAATAATTATTTTCAGAGTGACAACTATCTTTGCAACTATAAATTAATAATGTTCCCCAATCAAGTGAATCAAGTTTTGTGTGATCTATTTTAAGATAATTTAATAAGGTTGATAATACTTGAAACTCGAATGTTCTCTCTTGTCCACAATTTGAACACTTTGGTATAATAATATTGTTTTCACCAGGTTTATCATTATCACTTACCCATAATGGGTCTGGGTTTTTATCATCTTCATGCAACCTTGAATATCTAATAATGGGAGGAGGTAATGATATTTATTAGCACCTTAAAATTTTTAAATAAAAAAATTAAATAAATCAATACCTTAAGATTTGTTTAGGAAACAATTGAATTCTTTTTTGAAATTTTAAAAAAGCTTTATCGACTTTAACTTTACTATTTTCATAAATATCGTCAAATTCTTCACTAGAATCCTTTTTTGGTAACAATGATAAATATGATAAATTTTTTTCTTCAACATTATCGATTTCTTCTGGTTCAGTGATAATTTCATATTCAGGAAATAGTATTTTTTGGCTGCATATTTTATTATTATTTTCTTCTTGATGATCATTTGTTGTTCTACTACTACTATTATCATCATTTTTGTTATTATTATTAAGATTATTAGAACAATAATTTTTGTGTTTTCCAATATTCCAATGATTTATTTGATGTTCTCTTGAACAATAACAACTCATTCCACACTTCCCACATTCTTTTGACCCTAATAATCCACAAACCACACATTGTTTGACTAATTAAAAAAAAAAAATTTCTTAAATAAATATTCTAAATTGAATAAAAGAAAATTTAAACAATTTTTTACCATCTTCATTTAATGTGTCATTTGAAACTCTTTTTGAAGATTCATCATCATCAATATTCTTGTCCTTATTATTATTTTCATTGTTATTGTTATTGCTGTCATCATCAAATTCAATATATGGCCAATATGGATTATCTTTTGGTAATTGATTTCTATAAACTTTAAAACTTTATTTTCAAAAAAAAAAAGGCTTTTTTAAATTTTGAGAAAAAATAATAAATAATCAGAATACACACAAACCATTTATGCCAATCTTGTTTATGACATGATCCATTCTTACAACAAAAAATATAAATCATACGATGGAATGCTTCTGGTAGTTGATCTTGATCTTCTGGTGCATAAAGCTACATCAATTAAAAAATTTGTATTTTTTTAATATATATAATTTACACAATTGTCCAATCTATTAATTGATTAATTAATTGAGACATCTTACTTGAACCAACAGTATCATTGGTCTTTCACATATACCACATTTAACTTGTTCAAATGATAATATATGTTTAGGATTTAGCCATGCCTTAATTTTATCATAAATCATAAATTATTACTATGATATATATATATATGTGAGTACATTTTAAATAATTCAAAAAAAAGCATGATTAACTGGTTTTCCCCCAATTTTACTTGGAAATATGTCAGATGTTAAAGGTAATTCAGAAAGTTCTGCAAAGCCAAGTTCTACTGGTACTGTTGTTGTAGTAGTTTCCATAATTTTTTAATAAAATGTATTTTCCTTTTTTGTCTGTATTAAGGTTGATCATTATAAAAAAAATCTTCGATTTCCTTTGACAAATAATAATAATAATAATAATAATAATCACGTCATAAGAAATCAAAAAAAGTTTTTTTTTGAATTGATCAGCAACGTGTCACTTTGACCCATTTTTAAAATGTTTTCTGTATTACATAGTCTCGAATTGAAAACTTGTTTTAAATAAACCAATTATTTGAATTGTTGTTTTTCTATTTAAACAAAAAAAAACACCAACTTTTTTATTGATTACATTTTAATTTATTTAAAGAAATTTTGTCAATTCCATTTTAATTCAAATGGCAGGGAATCAAAAATCAAGCAAATGAAAAGTTCTTAGAATGTCCTTGCCCAACCTGTAAGAGGACTAATCATTCATATTCTTCAAGCAGCCATTGTAAGTTTCAAAACATCATGAATCCAAACCTGTTTCAGGAAAAAGGCACAAAATACATATAATGCACAGTCTAGAAAGATAAAGACCTTGAGCCTGCAATCCAAAGTTCTGTTGAAAGAATGACTTGAATTGATTTTGTTAACCAAACAGCACTTTATCACATGGCCCTTGGTGATTAATTTCTTTTTAAACAAGCAAAGGTGCTTTCAAGTATATGTGGCAATGTTTCCAAGCTGTAACTACATACCATTAACACCACCAAAGAACCCATTATAAATGACAGTTGAGCTACCCTCTACACTATACATGAAGTCGAAACTATTTTGACCATTTGCAGATCTGGTCAAAATGGGGTCAAAATAAGGTCGAAACTGGTTTTTACTATGTAGTTGCCTCAAGTTGAAACATTTCAACTTTGGGGTTTAATTTCGACTTCATGTATACTCTACATACAACATCAACCTTGAGGAATGAATTGGACAAATAAATATCATTAGCATACATGATGGCGAAAGTCATTTGATAAAATTCGAAACTTTCGAAAAATCACACAAGTTTTCGAAATCGAAATACCCTTGGCGAAATTAAAATCAAAATCTAAATTCAAAATCGACATCGAAATTCAAAATCGAAAATCGAAATCTAAATCGAAAATCGAAATCGAAATTCAAAATTGAAATAAATCAAAATCGAAATTCAAAAAATTGAAATAAAAGCACTTTAAAGACATTAATGCAAAAATTATTTATTAATTTCGATTTTCGAATTTTGATTACAAATTTCGATTTTGATTTCGATTTTCGATTTTGATTTCGAATTTTGATTTTTTCGAAACCTGTTAGGGTATGTTCGAAATGTTTGAACCTTAATATTAATCGTCGAAATTATTGTCGAAACAAAACTATTTCGCCATCATGTATGATCATTAGGACAATTTCTCTCCTCTGCTGCACAGAAATATGTTACAAATTGTCAGAACCACATAACAACAAACCTCAATAGCCAACTTAAAGATAAATATTTAAGATTCACCAATTTCCTTTACCCAAAAAAACACATTGACTCCATCATGGACCATTTCATTACCAACTAGAAAAATTGAGATTCCCTTCCCTTCCTTCAATGATTATCAATAAACTCTCTACATGGTGGAAGTTTGATTTTAATTTAGATTTTTACCGAAATTAGAAATTTTAGGGAGATCAAGATTTATATGGTATGTGTAACATGGATCACAATGAACAAAAAAATTTAGTGTATATAATAAATATATAAATACACTAAGTTAATTCCTATATTGCCGCTGTCATTACCACTGTTATCTTATTCTTGTTCTACTGCTACTGCTACTATTGCTTTTAATTTGCCATTATTATATTTGATGCCATTACATTAGAGAAAGTTAAATCTTTCAAAGAAATTTATATAAATGTTGTATTTATGAATTGATTATATTTAATATTAATATTTGTCAGCATATCCATGTCCATTCACCATATTATATTGTACTCGGATAATTAATTGCATATATAACTATTAATAAAACAAGTATTAATAGATAGATATGAATAAGAACGTTACATCTACCTGTAGTTTTTCTTGAATTTGTAATATAAACGACAGCCCTTATTCATAAATAGTTTAATAATACCATAAAGAGGTACCTCTTTAGTAAACTCCACAGGTATTGATGTATTAGAGATGGCCCGTCTTTAATGTTATCCTTATTATTGAAGAAATAAAAATATGCACTCTCTCTAACGAATTCCTCTACAAATAAAATTTCTCTATAATGTCACCGATTCATTTTCCTACTATTATAATTAATTTCTTTCTCTATAACGAACATCTTAGTATACACTTTTTATAATGAACAAAAGCAAAAAAATTACAGAAGGTTCGTTGTAGAGAGAGTAAACCGGAAACTATTCTTTAATAAGAATCCCATGAAATAAATAAATGTTTAAAAGTAATAAAAAATAAACGTACAGTCAAATAAAAGCAACATAAAGAAAAAGTCCCAGAAGAGTTAATGCTATGTAATTGTACCTTTTACACATTTTCACGGACGTGGTCATAATACCTTTAAATATTATCGGATGGTGAAGATGGTGTTTTACTAATAGGCGTGTACCACTTTTCTATATTTGCTTTAGCGAAAGAGCAAGGTATATATATGTGTGTGTGTGTGCGTGTGCGTGTGTTTTTCTTATAATAAAAAATAATAATGAAATAAACTAACTTTAATAATTTGTTCTCTACGAAATTTATACTTTTCTCTTCTCATCTAACTCATCTATTTGATCTTAAAGCTGAAACGTTTATAGAGCGGTTTTTTTAATATTCTCATTCTTATATTAATTGATCTATATTATATTTTATAATAAATTTTTATTTACCTTATTATTATTATTATTATTATTATTATTATATATTTTATATTGGATTCCGCTTATTTGGCTCCATATGAGCCTTTAGAATGATTCGCAACAAAACATATCCCAAAAATTTAAATGAATGCGCATAATTTTTTTTAAAGATGGTTATTTAATGAATGGCATTACCTATAACAAAACGTATTTTGAGTACTTTAAACAATTATTCTAACCATTAGTTTACTATGTTAAAATATATTAACTTCCATTAATTGTAAGCATGAAGTCATCCATCTTCTTTATTCTTCAATTTACTTTGTTCATTTCCAAACACAAAATCACCATCAATTTCAAGTAAGAAATTTAGGTCCTTTTCAACTTTTAATTCCTTTCGGAAGTAATTACTTTTTGACTAATCATCTGATAAAATTAGATCACAGCATCCATATAAACTAATTCTTCGATTTTCTTTTGTGCTGCAATTAGTTCAACTAAGCCATCATTATTAATTTTATCAGAATTCAAATATATTTTTATACTTTTGATATTTTTGTTAGCATAAGATAACTTAATAAAATTTATGATGGCCAGAAAAATTCGTGCCTTAATATTTACTACTCCAAATAAGTCTAATTACCGAATGTTTTAAAATTACTATTACTATTATTATTTAAAATCAAAATAGGGTGAAAATTTCATTGTAGTTTATATTAGTGGCAAATTTAACATAATTATATAATGGTAGGTGGGTTTTGTTTTCTTTGATAATTCAAAATTTTAGTTTAATGTCATTTTCCTCAAAGAAATTATCCTCTTCATGAAATAAATAAATGTTTAAAAGTAATAAAAAATAAACGTACAGTCAAATAAAAGCAACATAAAGAAAAAGTCCCAGAAGAGTTAATGCTATGTAATTGTACCTTTTACACATTTTCACGGACGTGGTCATAATACCTTTAAATATTATCGGATGGTGAAGATGGTGTTTTACTAATAGGCGTGTACCACTTTTCTATATTTGCTTTAGCGAAAGAGCAAGGTATATATATGTGTGTGTGTGTGCGTGTGCGTGTGTTTTTCTTATAATAAAAAATAATAATGAAATAAACTAACTTTAATAATTTGTTCTCTACGAAATTTATACTTTTCTCTTCTCATCTAACTCATCTATTTGATCTTAAAGCTGAAACGTTTATAGAGCGGTTTTTTTAATATTCTCATTCTTATATTAATTGATCTATATTATATTTTATAATAAATTTTTATTTACCTTATTATTATTATTATTATTATTATTATTATATATTTTATATTGGATTCCGCTTATTTGGCTCCATATGAGCCTTTAGAATGATTCGCAACAAAACATATCCCAAAAATTTAAATGAATGCGCATAATTTTTTTTAAAGATGGTTATTTAATGAATGGCATTACCTATAACAAAACGTATTTTGAGTACTTTAAACAATTATTCTAACCATTAGTTTACTATGTTAAAATATATTAACTTCCATTAATTGTAAGCATGAAGTCATCCATCTTCTTTATTCTTCAATTTACTTTGTTCATTTCCAAACACAAAATCACCATCAATTTCAAGTAAGAAATTTAGGTCCTTTTCAACTTTTAATTCCTTTCGGAAGTAATTACTTTTTGACTAATCATCTGATAAAATTAGATCACAGCATCCATATAAACTAATTCTTCGATTTTCTTTTGTGCTGCAATTAGTTCAACTAAGCCATCATTATTAATTTTATCAGAATTCAAATATATTTTTATACTTTTGATATTTTTGTTAGCATAAGATAACTTAATAAAATTTATGATGGCCAGAAAAATTCGTGCCTTAATATTTACTACTCCAAATAAGTCTAATTACCGAATGTTTTAAAATTACTATTACTATTATTATTTAAAATCAAAATAGGGTGAAAATTTCATTGTAGTTTATATTAGTGGCAAATTTAACATAATTATATAATGGTAGGTGGGTTTTGTTTTCTTTGATAATTCAAAATTTTAGTTTAATGTCATTTTCCTCAAAGAAATTATCCTCTTCAAATAAACGCTCGATTAAATTTTGCAGTATTTCAAAATAAAACGGATTTCTCCACAAGCTTAGAATACTGAAAATGTGCTATTGTTTATTAACTAGTGTGTAAGGAAACAGTGTTTTATGATCATCTTCAAAGTATTTAATTCCAGTTAAAAAAAGTTCAGGAGATAGAATTGTCATCTTTGCCTTTTTTGAAAAAATGTAAAATGAATATGAAAAAAAAATTTTTTAGAGTTAAGAGAAGCAGTGGAAGAAAGTAAACTTATTTATATTTTATTAGCAATTATAATATTATGATTTGTATTATTATATTTCTCGAAATTTTTGTATTATTTACAAAAATCATTTCGATATTATTATAGCAATAATTAAAAAGAAATATTCAAGCAAGATACATTATTTAAGAGTATTGGGGTTTCAACTTCAAATAATCTTCATTTTTACCAATAGTAGCAACTCTGTTTGTAATTCTTTTGAGAATATCTTTGTTTCTTTCATCTATATTAATTTTATGCCGAAATTTTTTAAGGATGCCTTTAACATTAAGCTTTTCTTCTCTAATCAAGTCACATACTTCTTTTTCAGAGATCAAGTTGGCGTCAGAAGAGCCACTACTAGTGCTATCAACGGATGCAGTTGATGATGATTGTTGAGTGGTAGTTACATTCTTTGAAGTTGTTGAAGTTGTAGTGGATGTTAGTTTTAATTTCTTTTTTTCTCTCTTCTTTTCTGATTCAGTTTCGACAAGAGTGGATGTTGTTGTCAGTTCATCTTGATTATCAAGTGGACGTTTCCTAGAGGATTTAGTGGTGGTAGTTAATAATGGAGCGGTGACTATTGAAGTTGATAATTCTGTAGGTGACAATTTGAGTTTCTTTTTTTCTCTCTTCTTTTCTGAATCAGCAATTTCGATAAGAGTTGGTGTTGTTATTGTTAATTCATCTTGATTATCGAGAGGTTGTTTTTTAAAAGATGTAGTGGTGGTGGTTGATGACGATGAGGCAGTGGCTGTTGAAGTTGATGAATCTGCAGACGACACGTTTGGTTTCTTTTTTCCTCTCTTTTTTACTGATTCAGTTTCGACAAGAGTAGATTTTGTTGTAGTTGTCGATTCATCTTGATTATCAAGAGGCTGTTTTCCAGATGTAGTGCTGGATGTAGTGGTGGTGGTTGATGACGATGGGGCAGTGGTTGTTGAAGTTGATGACTCTGTAGGCTCCAAGTTTAGTTTTCTCTTTCCTTTTTTCTTTTCTGATTCAATTTCAACAATAATGGATGTTGTTGTGGCTGTTGATTCATCTTGATTATCAAGAGGTTGTTTTTCAGATGTAGTGCTAGAGGCAGTGATGATGGTTGATGACGATGGGGCAGTGGCTGTTGAAGTTGATGAATCTGCAGATGACACGTTTAGTTTCTTTTTTCCTCTCTTTTTTCCTGATTCAATTTCAACAATAGTGGATGTTGTTGTAGCTGTCGATTCATCTTGATTATCAAGAAATTGTTTTTTAGATGTAGTGCTGGAGGCAGTGATGGTGGTTGATGACGATGGGGCAGTGGTTGTTGAAGTTGATGAATCTGCAGACGACACGTTTAATTTCTTTTTTCCTCTCTTCTTTTCTGATTCAATTTCAACAATAGTGGATGTTGTTGTAGCTGTCGATTCATCTTGATTATCAAGAGGTTGTTTCCCAGATGCAGTGCTAGAGGCAGTGGTAATGTTTGATGACGATGGGGCAATGGTTGTTGAAGTTGATGAATCTGCAGAAGACAAGTTTAGTTTCTTTTTTCCTCTCTTCTTTTCTGATTCAATTTCAACAATAGTGGGTGTTGTTGTAGCTGTCGATTCATCTTGATTATCAAGAGGTTGTTTTCCAGATGTAGTGCTAGAGGCAGTGGTGGTGGTTGATGACAATGAGGCAGTGGTTGTTGAAGTTGATGACTTTGTGGACTCCAAGTTTAGTTTTCTCTTTCCTCTCTTTTTTTCTGATTCAGTTTCGATAATCGTGGTTGTTGATTCATCTTGATTATCAAGAGGTTGTTTTTCAGATGTAGTGCTAGAGGCAGTGGTAATGGATGATGACGATGGGGCAGTGGCTGTTGAAGTTGATGAATCTGCAGAAGACACGTTTAGTTTCTTTTTTCCTCTCTTCTTTTCTGATTCAGTTTCGGCAAGAGTAGATGTTGTTGTAGTTGTCGATTCATCTTGATTATTGGGAGGTTGTTTTCTAATTATCAGTTTTAGTTTCAGAGGTGTTGAAGTTGATAATTTTGATTTTTCTTTATTTGTTGATGTTGTATTAGGTGATGATGATGTTGTTGATTCTGTAGGTGTCAAGTTTAATTTCCTTTTTCCTCTTTTCTTTTCTGATTCAGTTTCAACAAGAGCGGATTCTGTAGTTGTTGATTCATCAAAAGTTCGTTTTCTAGAAGAAGCAGCGACTGTTGAAGTTGATGACTCTGTAGACTCCAAGTTTAATTTTCTCTTTCCTTTTTTCTTTTCTGATTCAGTTTCGACAAGAGTAGATGTTGTAGTAGTTGTCGATTCATCTTGATTATTGGGAGGTTGTTTTCTAGTTATCAGTTTTAGTTTCAGTGGTGTTGGAGTTGATAATTTCGATTTTCCTTTATTTGTTGATGTTGTATTAGACGGTGATGTCGTAGGCGATGATGTTGATGATGAACTGGCTATTGCAGTCAAATCAGATTTTTGTTTTAATATAGATTTGGGTTTAGCTTTTGGCTCTAGTTTAGATGTGGAACTTGAAGAAGATGACGGTGTATATGTTGTTAAGCTTGTTGCAAATCTAACTTTTGGTTTACCAGTAGCAGCGAATGCTGTTGATGTTTTAGTGGCTGTTGGTTTAGTTTTGGAGATTGTCGATGACCGAGTAACCGGAGTTTCTTTCTCTTCGTCTGATTCATCAATATCAGTTGAACTTGCATAAGGATCCGATTCATTATCACTATCATAAACATCATTGTTTTCCAATGTTTTCATGAGTTTTTTTAGATTTTTTCCTTCGGCTGTTAATTTGTTTTTTCTTTTCTTACCACCCCCAAACCCATCATCAGAAGTAGCACTAAAAAATCTCCTCCTAGCCGATACTATATCTCTATGATCATAATCTTGATTTTGTAAATCAATAATTTCCTCTTCGTCATCTTCAAACACCTCTTCATAATCCATTTCTTCGAATTCATCATCATCAAATCTATGATGACGAGATTTAGGTTCTCTGTCATCATCATATGACCCGAATAGAGGTTCTACTTTATCTTCTACAGTTTTAAGACTAGGTTTTTTGTCATAAATCCCACCTTCTTTCTCCACCAATTCTTTTCCTTTACCCTTTTCAATCGATCTCTTCATAGATAGTATTTCGTTTTCACGATTTTTGTTTAAAAACTATTAACAACAGTATATGTATTAATATAGTAATAATAAATTAAGTGGATATTTATTTATATATCATCGCCATCATCATCATCAATTAATGAACTACTTACTTGTATTGGTGCGTCTTTGAATTCGTCAGGTTTGATCCTTTTCTTAAATACAAACCAACGATCAAGTAGTTTAAGTTCAGCATATTTTTTTCCTTTTTCGTCAACCTATTTTATAAAGTAGTAAATGTATATACATACATTGTATGCATATATATATGTTTACGTATATATATATATAAAATATATAATCTTTACTTTATGATTAATTGCACCATATCTAAAAGGCTCCAGACTACTTTCTTGTGCAACCCAAGTATTAGTTCCATCAGCAGCCTCCAATACCAAGGGAGGTCCGTAATCGTCCATTGATTTTCTTGTAGCTTTATCAATTAGAGGAGGTACTAATGGTATAACTCTTTGTTTAGATATTTTCTTAGTTAGTCTTGCTCCACCATAAGGTGCTATTAACGAGAGGTCAACACCATCTCGTGTAGGTAATTTAGTCGTTGACGAGGAGGAAGAAGCTGTTGAATATTTAGTTGCTAACAAGGAAGAAACTCTTGGTGAATTAGATGATGGGAAAAAGGCTCTACGTTTTGAAGTTGCTTTGATATAATCATCCATCGTTCTAGGATTTTTATGAGTCAATTTTACAGGTTGAGCAAAAGTTTTTAAATCTACTTTTCCACGTCCAGAAAGTTTCATTAGATTAAACTCTTTTTTTGGATCCTCCACTGTAAATTTTAATGGAATGGTTTCAGCCAATTTGTAATTTGGTTTTGTTGGAACATCTTTGGCATTTGGAGGACCACGAATACTATCAATCAATTCCTTAAGTTTTTGAGATACTTTAAGTGGTATTCGTGGGGGTCTTGACGGTCTTCGTGGTTGTGTTTGTGGTTTTTGTGCTGGTTTTTGTGCTGGTTTTTGTGAAGGGAGCATGTTTAGAATGTTTTTTTTTTTGAGTATATAAAAATTAAAAAGTAGATGAAATGATTGATGGGCGATGATGTAAATTCATATGACTCATGTTACACGCTGCTGATATTGGTCGGCAATATATTCCGATGTGCGGAAGATAATATTGAAAATTTGGCTTTTTAATGAAGTTTATAAAGCAACCTGGATTGGTAAAAGCTGATGTAATAGTAACAAAGATTGTATGTTACGAAATTACAAAAGATTCAAAAGATTATCTATTGGTATTTCAAATATGCGTTCTTTATACGATCATTTATCATTACTCACTATATAACGCATCAAAGAGGTAGAATTAATTATTATTATTATTATTAGATTAAGAGAATTCATTTGCGTCGTGTGATTTACGTTATCATTATGTGTTGATATGTAATTTCGTCGCGTAACTAGTACAAATTTAGAAACTATCTCCAGAAATTCAAAATTTGATAGGATAATAGTGTTACACACGCCTTTCAATTTTACACATTGACGACTCCGGATTATCATAATGTTTGTAGCGCAAATTTTTTGTGTCGTGAGTGTTTTGGATGTGAAATTCTGATTGGCTAATTTGAATTTCACGCACGTGAATTGCAAATTCACATAAATCCTATTTCAAAAGACAAAAGAGAAATTATCATAAGAGCTTAAAAATCATAACGTTAAGTAAGTTACTATCAATCCTGGAAGAAGAAAAAAAGCTTTACTACAGGAAATATAAGTCAAAAGAAAAGACAGTGGAGCGAAAAGTTATAGAAAGTCATCCAGAAGCGATCTATACAAGTGAAATTCGATTGAGAAAGTTATTCTTAGAAAGTTACATTAGTTGAACATAGTTTCAATAGCAAGCGCTTGTTTCAATAGAGGGAGATTTTACAAATGATTTGATTATTGTTAGTTTATCAATTAAAACCCAAATTTTTTCTTTATAAACTTCAAACTCTGCAAGATTCAAAAGACTTTGTAATAAAATTAAACGTTTACAAGAAAATTATCATTGAAATTAATTGAAATACATGGATTATTAATTAGGAGAATGCATTGGAGATGAGTGAATAATCCAATTAGTAATGAAGTTCTATTGTGATAATCTTTTCAATAAATAGGAACCTAATCTACTTCACAGTTAATTATGAAGAACACCCTATTATTCCAATGTGTATTGTACACTCACCTGCCAAAAGTATCCGGACAAAATGTAGATCATGTAAATTTCCGTGACATTTCTGGGTGTTTTACACAAAAATACTCGAAAACTAGCGAGAAAACGTGGCTTTTTGTCCTAAGTAACTGCACTTCAAATGTTCGAAATTGCATATTTCCATTAATATTTATAATCTAATAAAATATAGTTTTTGGGTGATATGTAAATTCTTAAAATCGTTTAAAAATGTTGGTTCCCAAGACTTTTTTTTGTCCCATAAAATATCCCACATAATAATAAAAAGTCTGAAAACTCCATAAAAGAATTTAAAATATAATGAACAAAATAAAAAAAAGATGATTAAAATTCGTCAGAAATTGATAGAGTTGCATGTATTGAGAAAATTTCCGAAAATTTTTCAAAAATCAAAA